CTTTGAATGCCCTGGTTTGCAACACATGCACATTTAACTTCCAGTCTGGAGAGATGTAGTGGACAGTGATGGTCACATAAGACTCAGTGGAGCATGACGTCCAGGCATCGGTTGTAATAGCAACTCGCTCTGCATGTGCCAATTCTTTTTCAACTTGGCTCTTCACTTGGGCATACAACGCTGGCATGCATGTGTTTGTGATATGCTGCCGGGACGGAATCTTATATCTGGGCTCTAACGTATGAATCAAATCCTGAAATCCTTCCCCCTCCACTATATTGTACGGCCATAAGCCCTTAGCTATGAAACGAGTTATTGATGCCGTTATATCCTTAGCTCGTGATGAACTGTCGCCGAGTTGCCCGTAAAATTTAGTGATAACGTTACCCGTCGCTCTCTGTGTGGCAGCTGCCTGCTCCTGCTCGTTGTTATGGGGCTTGAGAAGTTCGCCATACTCCTCTCTGTGTTTTCTCGTTGCATGTTGATCAAGGTTTGTTGTGCTACCAGTGTACTTCAGAGGTGCTCTGCATAGCTTACAAATAGCGTGGTTTTTGTCGAGTTTTCCGTCCTTCTTGTAAAACCCGAAAACGTTCCACACTTTAGACTTTTGTCTGGCTGCTGTATTGAAAATCTTTCTCGGTGACCCGCTAACGCTGCTACTATTTACATCCATTCTCGTTGTCTTGGTGAGCTACGGAGCATGCGTGAGAATAGCTTCGCGGGCATTTCCGACTCTCGCGTTGTTTTATAAACGCACTGTCAACCGAGCTAGTCTCGCGATACCCGGTTCATGTCTCTTCAACCGGTTCATCTCAGCATTTGTGGCTGGTTGCTGTCGATTTATACGGCTGCTACCGACACAACCATATCGCTAGCTTGTCAAACCGGATATCCGGTCGTATCGGTTTATCTATAACAACCCTAGTATATATATACATATATATATATATATGTATATATGTCATTAACCACTTCACTGCCGCACATTTCACAGATGTTTATAACTCTGAAATGATCATTCAGCCCCCAGTGTTTCTCACCACCACTGAGGAGCTGACATCCCAGTTCAACTCTGTCTGCTTAAAGACTTTGGATCATGTTGCTCCTGTTAAAACCAAAAAATCAAAACTCAGAGCAGAACCTTGGCTGAGTGACGTCACCAAGGCCGCTAGGCAGCAATGTAGGAGGGCAGAACGAAAGTGGAGGAAAGACAGGCTGCAGGTTTCTTTCCAGATACTTAAAGAGTGTTGGCGCTGTTATCAGAAAACAGTAAAAGCTGCTAAATCAAAATTCTTCTCTGATATAATTACCTCAAACTCTCACAACCCACATGTCCTCTTCTCCACCCTAAACTCTGTTCTCCACCTCACTGAACCATCACCCCTGGAAGCCTCAACTGAGCTGTGTGACAACTTCTTACATTTCTTTGTGGAAAAAATTGTGACCACCCGGGCTCTCATTTCCCCTCCAACTCATGACCCATCCATCCCACCTCAATCTGTAGCTCCTTTTGACCATTTTGAACCCATCACTATCTTCTCTAGAGCAGGTCATGTGCAACTTGAAACCTTCTGGCTCCCCCTTTGATGTGGTCCCCCCTCGACTACTAAAGGAGGTTTTTCTTACTCTAGGCCCGTCCATTCTTGCCATAGTAAACAGTAGTTTATCCACTGGCGTTGTGCCAAAATCCTTTAAACATGCTGCTGTCCAGCCTCTCCTGAAAAAAACAAACCTTGACCCCTCAGTCGTTTCCATCTATCGGCCTGTCTCCAAACTCCCATTTGTTTCTAAAGTACTGGAGAAAATAGTTGAGTCCCAGTTGAAGTGCTTCCTGGAGGATCACGCCATCTTAGAGCTATTCCAATCTGGCTTTAAACCTCTCCACAGCACTGAAACTGCCCTGCTGAAGGTCTTTAACGACATTTTCAGATTCACAGATACCGGTGATTCTGTGCTGCTTGTCCTGTTGGACCTCACGGCCGCCTTTGACACCATCGACCATGAGATCCTCATTGCTAGGTTGGAGCAGTGGGTGGGCGTCACAGGATCAGCCGTCAATTGGTTCAGATCTTACCTCACTGACAGATCCTTTTGTGTCTCCATCAAGGATTTTAGTTCTGCAGAGGCAGAGCTTAAGTGGGGGGTTCCGCAGGGGTCCATACTGGGTCCCCTCCTATTCTCTTTATACCTGCTGCCGCTTGGTGCTATTTTCCAGAAACACAACATGCCCTTCCACTTCTATGCCGATGACTGTCAAATTTACTTCCCCCTAAGACACAATGGTACATGCTCTATTCAACCGCTGCTCGACTGCCTGGCTGACGTCAGGGACTGGATGGTTTTAAACTTCTTAAGTTTCAATGAAAAGAAGTCTGAAGTCATGTTGTTCCCTCCCAACACTGACAAACCACTGTATCGACCTCTCTGCTCTAACCCTGTCAGAAAAACAAAGAGTCACTAATCTGGGCGTGATAATGGACGCTTCCCTGAAACTTAACAATCATGTAAACATGATCGTTAAATCCTTTTTCTTCCAATTGAGGTGGCTGTCTAAACTGAAGCCCATATTGTCCAAAAATAACCTGGAGACAGTAATACATGCATTCATTACATCTAGGCTTGATTACTGCAATTTGCTCCTGTTTGGTATCAGTCAGACCTCCATTGCACGACTACAACTGGTCCAGAATGCAGCAGCCCAAGTTTTAACCAGTACAGGCAAAAGAGAGCACATTACACCAGTTTTGGCCTCACTGCACTGGTTACCGGTTCACTTTCGAATCCAGTTCAAAATACTCATGTATGTCTACAAATCACTGAACAGTGTCAA